AACAACAATAGGAGCTTGTCTAAGTCAAAACATATTGACATTAAGTTCCTAGATGTGAAGAAAAGGGTACAAAGTGGTCAAATTTCCATCGAACACTTAGGGACAAAATCAATGTTAGGAGATCCCCTAACTAAAGGTGTAACACCTATGGTATTTCACGAGTATACTGCTCATATGGATGTGTTATATATTCAGGAAGCTTCACTCTAGTGGGAGCATTTGCTACATATTTTTGTCATTTTTAGTCGATGATATATAAAGTACTTACTCTGATCATAAATAAAGGTTTAGTTCATGACACTTCGTACATTATGTTTTGGTACATAACGATCTCATTAAGTTTGGACTAGTTGAAAATTGACATGTGCTGATCATATTCATGTAATTTTCATGCCACATGTTCCACAGTTTGGTGTATGTCATTTAATCATGGTGATATATGTGATTATTGATAGTTTAGCTGTGTCTATAGGCGAAAACTGCTTTAGTCCTATATTGTTGTGATTAATGGAGCAGATCGTTCAAGTTCTGTAACAATGACCATATTTTGAGCTCATAAGTATCTATACTTATATGAAAAACTATCATATTTATTAAAATTAGTAGCAAAAAAATAGGTCAGCATTTAATGCAACCCATAAATAGTAGATTTATTATTTCTCTTATTTTTTTTATTTAAAAATTATACAATTTATTTTATAAATACGCTTTACTATAATCATACAATTCAATCATACAATTTAATTTATAAAAATTATACAATTTATTTTTTCTTTAATACGCTTTAATACATATATATATATATATATATATATATATATATGGTATTTTTTGTAATAAATTTGAATAAAATGTGTTACTTAAATATCTAAACAATTTAAAAATTCAAATGTTTAAATTAATTGATAAACAATTTATAAAACTCTATTTTATTTAATTTTATTTAAAATAATTTTAAATATAACAAAATTTATGTAGAAAATCGTATTGATCCTACCAGTTCAACCGACTGGTGTTGACGAATTCAATAGCAAATATTTTATTCAAGTGAACTAGACTGATTATAAACTGGTTCTCGGTCTATGCGGTCGTACTGTGTCAAACACGGTTTAATTTTAAAACGATGGATAAATCTTGATTAATTTATTTGTATATTAAATTTATAACACAATCACTACAAAAAAATAGAGTTCTAGTGAAGAATTTTGTTGTCACTGTATTGTCACTATATCTTCTGTCACTATATCTACAATTATTGTCACTATATCTACAACCAGTGTTTAAAAAACCGTACCGTACCGGCCGGTAATACCGGTATTACCGGTTACCGGCCTTAGGTACGGTACAAAAGCACACAAAATACCGGATTTTCGGTAATACCGTTTTGTACCGGTATTGTACCGTAAATACCGGGAAAAACCGGTCCAAAATACCGGCCATGAAAAAAAAAATTAAAAAAAAAAATAAAAAATATTTTTTTTTTAATTAAAAAACATAAAATTTAAATTGGTAGTTAGAATGTTTTATTTTATTTCATTGGTAAGTTAAAATTAATGATTATGATCATTTATTTTTTATTTTTTTTGTATTTGGTATTATATATTTTTATAAATAAATATATATATTATTATATTTGCTAGTCCGGTAATACCACCGATATTACCGGTTGTACCGGTAATACCGCGTACCGGTGGGTAGACCGGTATGGCCACCGGTACGGTATTTAAAACACTGTCTACAACAATTGTAGATATAGTGACAATAATTGTAGATATAGTGACAACAACTGTAGATATACTAACAGTAGATATAGTGACAACAATTGTAGATATAATGAAAAACAATTCTTCACTAGAACTCTATTTTTTTGTAGTGAATTGTAATATTGTTTTTCCGTGCATCGCACGGGCCACACACTAATAATGTATTATCAGGACACATATTTAATTAGTGGGAGATTGTTAGATATATTTTGGGATTCAATATGTGTAATTGATACATTGAGTCATTATATTGTTTAGCCAAATTAAGTGATCAAATTATTGTACATTGGCTAAGGAACTTAGTTTAGATTGTGGAATGATTAAATGTGGACACCCGATAATATTATTATTTGGTGACGTAACAAATAATAATATTAAACTTAAGGACCTAAATAACAAATAATTTCGGTCAAAATTATTTATGGGTGGAGTCCCCAAAAGCCGTGAAAATAAAGTGATGCCCATTAGGATAACCCATAAGGAATAAAAAAAATAAATAAAAATTGGTAGTTGCTGGTAGTTGCCGACACTTTTTCATTAAGTGTGACAATTAACCACTTATCAATAAAAAAGGGTGAATGGGG